GCTCTGCAGCAGCACCTCAGTTAATGAGTGTATAGGAAAGAATTTATCTGAAGAAGAAGAAAGTGAAGCTCAACAGCCTTTCAGGCACATGAAACTAGCTTAGAGAAAACTCTGAGACGGTGGCAGCTACTTAAGAAGAAAATTCCGCTGAAAATAAATGTACAAAGAGTTCGGTTCAAAATTTCAGTAATGTGTTTTCCCCTTGTCACTTATGGCTCGGATTGTGAAAAGTGTTAAAAGCTGGAATGCAGATTTCTCCGCCCAATTGTTACATGAATGATCATGACCATATATTATTGCTTAAGTTTTCTGGCAGTACCTGTAATTTCAGTCATGACGAACTAATATGACTTCTTTGAAATGTCATGTATGCTTCATCACGGATTTAGTTAGAATGTAATATTATTATACGGCCACGTTCAATGTCAGCAAATAGCTTAAACATCATGTTGAGAAAATATCAGCAGCAGTAACTAGAATATTATTAGCATAACTAACAAATTAATTCTTATCAACCAAGCACAACCACTTTCTTTTTTCTTTTTTTGAATTGATGGCTTATGATAAAAGGTGTCTCCACTGAATTAAGCTCCTAACTAGCTTGCTCGATGAACAGGGTAACTCACCACGTTAAAATATCTGAAAGCAAACTTATTCTACAAAAATATTAAGAATAAATACAGTAAGCTTTCAGACAAAGGATGGTTGTCAGGTTCTTAGTATGCAATGTAAAACTGTAATATTCTATGTAGTGCTTTAGTTTTCTAATAAGTCATTGTGATAAGGTTAACACTTCAACACAGAACAACATACAAATAAGAACACCCAAAGATGAAAATTACTTTGCTTATGTTGCTGTATTAGAATTTTATTTGCTAAAGGGTGAAAACAGATTTGCAAAATTCACAGTTAACTTAAAACAATAGTTTTAAACCTTTTATTCCTAGCCCTGGCTGCCTTCAGGAAGGAAAGAACATCTGGTTATTTAAGGAACACAATATGTTCACATTTTCTATGACTTTTGTTTCTAATTGGGTTTTTTAATTTTTTTTTATTTGAACAGCTCTAGTTAGAACTATGTTTTTTAATCACTTTATATTTTTCCACTGCCCTATCTCCGTATCTCTACTTCTTAATTTTGCAGCCTTTGCTTTGAAAATTAACAGTGCTCAATGGTTTTGATAAGGAAAAAAATGAAGAAAATTGGCCACTCGTGGGATATTAAATACACAGAGACACACCTTCAGTAAATGCGTTTGGATATACACAAAAACCCTTCCCTTATTTTCTCATTTCACATATACATACTTTTAATAGCCCATTCTTCCATAAGAAGCTCTACTTTTATATTCAGAAGGACTATAAGTGCATAGAAGTTACTTTCATATAAATAATTGAGGTAATTATCTGTTCAAAGATTAGAAACGTGAAACAAATACTCTGCTAAGCAGGTTAACTTTATCACCCTATGCAAAAACAACACTGATTTGAGTTTTTCATTCTACATTTTCCTAAGAACTGGAGCTAGCCAAATGCAGAAAAGGCTAAAATTCAATTTTCTGCATTGATCCATACTCATGCCTGTAAAATTAGTATCTCTCAGGCCCCCCTTCAGAGACAGGTGCATTAACTTGTTTTCAGCTACTACGGAGATGTGTATTTCTCTTCCGCGGCACTGGAATATATCAGAGATGCGGTATCTAAAACATCCTCTCATCCCAGCTGCCAACTGGGGTTCACAAAGTGAAAAGGAGAGCTGCTGCATGCATTAGATTAATGGCAAGCACTAATTACTTTTCATATTATTATTACTGGATAATGCTAAGGCTTCTGCTAAGGCTTGATTCCACAAAAGGTCAGGAAATTCTATTTGTCCATCTGTAAGAAAAAAATGCCACCCATCTTTTAAGTATAGCTTTCTTTTGACATTTAGGTTGCCCTCCTGGTGATGACTGCAGTGAAAAGAAGCAAACAAAACGCGACAGGTTCATCAAGCCAAAGTTTAGCTCTCCTGACAGTCTACAAGACAAATAAATAAGGAGGAGATATCTGTTATGTCAGACCAAGGAAACAGAAGAAATAATGGATGTTATTAGATGTGCAAACCCAGATTATCTCCAGAATTGGAAGTTACGGATGGAAATGTCGTGCCAGGTCCATCTTAACTACTTCACCATTTATGACAGGATTATTCCTTAAGAACCCTTCAGTTTTATATACATACCACCAACCTTTCTTAGTCCAAATACTCCACAACTTCCCCTCAGTGAGATTATTTGGCATTTACCTAGCTGCAAAAATAATCCCAAAGACAATATATATTAACAAACCTGCAAGAGGCAGATTCCTGTTTTTCCCTGTCCGTGACTTCTAAACTGTATTTCTTGTCCAGCTGAGATTTAAAGCTCTGAGGGGCAGAGAGCAAGCCTCTCTCAGATATTTGGAACAACACTAAACATTCTTGCTATGTTCAACAAATAATGAAATAAGCCACTGGACCATGCAACAGTCTCCCACAGAAGAGTTCCCTGACTTCACATATTAAAACCCAAGCGAAATCTTGGAAGAAATGCCACACAGAACAACTCAACCCTGGCTCAGGAGATCTAAATTGCACTGAACCAAATGTAATTTCCCATTAGAAACTAGAAGCTGGTGACACAGAAATGCACAGGAAAACATCAAAGGAGGAAGAAAAATCATTAAGCACTGAATTTGCTAATCATCACTTACAAGTTACACTACTGACTAAAATCTCCTTGTCTTTTCTTCCAATCTCCTTTTATCTGCTGAGGGAATAAAGGCAAACTGAATTATCTTTATGCAGATAGCACAAAAAGGTTATCATAATTTTCCCACTTATATTGGTATATAATCTCTGCACTGACTTTAGACTCCTACAGCACTGATGATGTCTTGCTGAGTCTTCCCTTTCATTCTGTGTAATGAAAAATTTTGATGGACTTGGAAAATTTTCATGTGTAGGTCTTACAGATTAACAAGACTTCCTTTTCAGAAATACGTTGGATTGAACCAACGTATGCTTAAAGACACATAAGTGAAACTTAAAATCATACCCAGGAAAAGATAAGAAACAGGTACTCAAGTCATAGCATTGAAAATAATACATTTCTTTCTCAGACCAGGAGCTATTTTTTCTTTTAGAGTGATCCTTGAGAACAGTTTAGCATCCTTACTGTAAGAAGTCCAGATCTGTTTGTGCAGTCTCAACCCAAAGACCCAAGGTAAAACGAGAGGTGGCTGGAAGTCCCTTAGGGCTCTTCATTCTCTGAAAATCCCAGCTTCCTAACCTTCAGAGTATTTCCCAAGCAGGTAAGTACAGCTCAGAAATGAGGAACAATTGTAATTAATCATATTTAAATTGACAAAACAACTAGCAGTCTTTGCATGAAAGAGCTTTACGTACTCATTCACCTGAGTGAAGGGAGAACTACCTGGAAGACACAGTAGGAACTACATCCAGTATTTTTCTGAAAGGTGTTCAAGACACACCTGAGAATGTTAATTAACAGGACACTGAGGCCTTATGAGCCTGACAGCTTTATTCTGTTGGAGAGAAGAGCGTAAGGAGCGGAATAGTGATCAAGCTTCTTTCACGGGAAGTTGGTGGTTTATTTTTGCCCCCTTCAGCTGGTAGGATATCTTGTATACTGCCTAGGATGCTTCGGAGGACAGTTGAATAATTAGTAATTATTCTATCTTTTAATATATACCTTCAATAAATGACAGATTACATACTGGATTTAGTTTGATATCTTAGCACAATTTTCCTCTCTCTGTCTCTTCCCTCTAAAAAATACTTCTACCTTGTTTTGCTAAGAGAGTACATAAATAAATGCTGGGCAGCCTGATTTCACAGACTGCTGCCGAAATCTTAAGAAAGATTCCTGAGATCTAACGCTACAAACTTTCTTACACACTAAAAAGACGATATACTTTACTTCTTGTCATGAAAGAAATCTTTGTGCCCGAGAGGAATGAAGAAAGCAGCTGAAAGGATGCAGATCTCTGCAAAAAACTGATATAGAAACAAAGAGACAATTTTTTTCTTAATCCGTAAAAGTGTAAACATTGGTACTGAATGAAATTCTGCAGAAGGCAGTCAGAGTGCAGAAGTGATGAATTTTTCACTTTCAAAGGTGACGTGCATCAAGAAGATGAGGGAAATCAGACTTTACACTGGCAGCCTACTAATGGGACATGCACAAAGACCATGCAAGCAGCACAAATTCTGCTATCTGCCAAAGATCTGAGTACTGCAAAGATTACTGTGTACAGCTTCATCTCAAATACTTTATCCACTATACTGTGGATATCTGCTGTATATTATATCCACACATATACACATGCCATTCTAAAACAGCAAGAGGTTCATTTTTTTTTTTAGTATAGGTGAGTATATCAGAAACTGTATACTAGTAATATGTAACATAAAATTTATGAATTTATACATTTTATTCAAGTGAATCTTTTCAGGCTGTAACAGCAGACTCTCGTTTTTAATTGAAAACCATCACATAACTATTATATATTGGGCAGGGGTAGTGCTTCAAGGATTAACAGTGATTAATCTGCAGAAATCCCACGAGAAAGGTCTTACAGATGAAATTGCATGACAGTTTCCATACAGCTTACTAGGTTATTATATAAAATATTACTGTTTCCCTCAAAAGTATCTCTCATTATGAAAGATGTTTATGCAGAATACCAGGCAAAGGTATTCTAAAGAGCATAAACATCTGCAGTTACCCGAGCTCCTGGATGACTTTAGCAAAGTAGTAGGATAGTACCCTTTAAAGAGTAAAGGAACTTGTTTCTACTCTTGGTTACCAACTCTTTCCTTCAGCTTTTTTGTCAGGTAAGAAGAAACTTGAAACTACAGTTTAGATCCCAAAATGTAGGTTGTTATTAACTTCATAGTATTCAGGACATTTTATTACAGAGATTTATTCCCTGTATTTACAAAGTGAGCATCTCACCTTTGGATCTCGAAGAAAAAGTGCTCTTAGGATAAGGGAGTGAACATCTCCAATAGGCGGATAATGCATCAGAAGTCCCAAACAGGTCTGATAATTACTTGAAATCACTACAATGAAAATGAAAAAAAAAAAAAAAAAAAGAGAAAAAAAAAAGGTGAAATATTACTATCTTATTTTGATATTCCAAAACAGTACCTTTTTCAGTAGATTCATTGCAGTTCAGATTCAGCTGTCTTTTCCCACATTAAGTCTCTTAGAACTCAAGCAGTGCTCAGAGTAATATCAAGAAGATATTGCATAATCAAGCTTCATGACTACGCTTGGTCCAATATCATTAAGGACAATGCTAAACCTACCACTGACTTTATGTCATAGACATTTATGTTAGCTCTAGATTTAGATTCCTAAATTTAGATCTCTGTAGCTGTGCATCTAAAGCCTGCCTGAGCCAGTGGAGGTCAGGGCAATACAGTCAGTGGAGCCTGAAGAACTAGTCCTACACTCTGAAATGGACACTGACTTTTCAGGCACTCATCTGCAGACACCTAAATTTAAGTATGATAATTTGTGAGATAAATTTTACCTTTGGTCCTGCTTTTATGACAACTTTCCCCCACTCTGACAATTTTTTGCTGAAATATCTTTTATGTTGCTCTTATGTACATATCCACATACATGCCCACACACATATATACACACATATGCAAAATGACGTCAACAGCTCTTTGTTTTCTTGTAAATCAGAAACTGTTCACGAAATGTTCAGGAAAAAGGGAAAGGCTAGATTCTAATTTCATAAATACTTAAAAATATAATATACCATTATCTTTATTAGAATTTTTTACTTATTCAGGAAATTTTCAGCATGCTTTGCTAAAGTTTATAATTTTGTTATAATTGTGCTTGATTTTATCTGAATCTATGTAAGTATACTCTATGGTTCTTTGCTTGTCGTTGTCGTCTTCTGTTTTGGTCTTTTTTTCCCCAAATCAATCTAATTATGAGTGCAATTATTAAAGACATCTTTTCAGGCAGGTCTATGTAAACTACTTCATTTCTTTTACACCGTCTAAATCCAGGCAATCCATCTGCCACAGCTGTCAAAGTAATGCCTGTTAATGGTGCTGCACTCTGCAACATAAAGACAGCCTCCAACAATAGTACTTGTAAATAAATTTTTAACAAACTTTACTATTCTGAGAACTTTAGCTGCAGTAACAAATACTTTTAATTAGTCAGGTCTCTACACAGGAAAGGATCATTGCAAATACAAAATTATTCTGAATCAATAAAAGGCAAAATAAAGGACTGTTTTGAGGACAGAAAGATTTAAATGTTTCACTTTTTTTCTTTCATGTGAATAAGCCTCACATCCTCCTGTACCTTTCCTCCCTCAACAAGAGGATTATGGGGAAAAGATGCAGGACTAGGCAAAATGAATAATTATTAT